CACGTTTCCAGTGTTCTTTTTCATGGTACGTGAAATTCTGTTTCACTTCAACAACGCCAAACGTCTTATCAGGAAATTTAACGTTTTGATTATGTAATTTGTGTTAATCTTCTCCATTGCTATTCATCCTCTTCTTTTTTTCTTTTTGTTTCAGATTTACCTCTTCGGTTTGATTTCTATTGTTTTTTCATTCCTAAAATTTTTAATTCGTCCGCGTCGACAAATACGATTGAAAAATTCATAATGTTTTATCCTTAGTAACCTGTCATTGCTGTCAGCAAAAATCTCGTGAGAGACTGGGGTCGTTTATTCTCCATACTAGGCCTCCTCCTGCAGTTTATTCTCTAATTAATGTATGAACAGCTATGAAATAATAATTCAGTACAACGCCCAATCACGGTTTTTATAAAAAAAGGTACTCATCCCAACAATTTCACACAGAAATAAAAAATGAAACTATATAAAATAGAAAAGAAAGAAAGAAAAAAGAAAGAAAGCAAATATTGAAAATTAAACAAAGTTTCTTGAGGGACATACCCCTTGAAACCCAAATTCCAACATTTCCCCATACTGTTAAACTTTCATTCTGTTGTCCCTAGTTTTTTAGAATACAAAAATGTCTCTTACAATTAGTTATGGTGAACATACATACTTGTAATATTCCCATAACTGCAGCCATTGTAGACATTGTAGGAAAAGCTGTCGTGGATGCGTTTGCCTGTGCTATCATGGATGAATTGGCCGCCATACAAAAGCATGAGCATGTTGACACACAAGCATGTGCATGTTGCATGCAACATATCAAAAAAAACACAAACTTTAGGTGTTGAGGGAGAGTCATCTGTCAAAGCGAAAGCAAACGGTATTGCAGTTAACTCATGATAACAAACACAGAGAGAAAAATTTAATATAGCGAACAAGAGGCGCATGTTTTCTAATAGATTTGGGTAAGAAGTTGTAAGCTATGTCTTTGGATCAATCCACTCTTTTACATTAACACCTTAGTTTGACTGACGCCCACTAAGGTTTTGTTTTGCTGGCTTTAGAATACCTCTTTGGCGTAATTTTAAT